ATTTTAGCGTTTTTGACTCAATACGTATTGGATGCCCGGTCAGGTTATTTTAGGTTTCTAAACATAAGTATAGAACACGTATTTGTATCCCTATTGAACAAATGTATGAAAATATGAGTGTTTAATATAGATTCATACTAGTCAATATTAAAAAAAATAATTAGTAAATTACCAAAATATAATGGTTAACAAATTGTTTTTAATTTTACATGAAATCTGCATAGTTTGTTGGGTTAGGTTAAAAATACGTTTGGAAAACGGAAATATTATTATCACGCGAGCAGAATGAGCTTTCCCAACTTGTTTTTATTGTTGATTGAAAATTGACAATTTATTACTTTATTGTGTCTTTGTATTATAATTTATAGTATCTGATATTTCTTGTATTAATAGTTAGGTATCCGCAACTGTGTCAATAATATGTATTATATTATAAAATGTATGAATAGTGTAGTTATCTATTATTTTACTTTGGCATTAAAAGAGTGATATTATTATTATTAAATATTATCATATATGAAAAACAAAATCTATTGTATCTATAAGGTATTTTTATTTGACATTGGTCTCCTGATTTATATTTCTGTTATCAGTATTCAGCAAGTTTCAATTAAGGCATAATATTATAAGTATAATAGATTATATGTTATGGGCGAGGTCCGTTACGTTGAAGCATCATTCTACAATTTGAAATTTATTGGGATAACTTATTGTTTGCAGTGACTACTGTAAGTTAAGGTACGTTTTTAAAAGTAATATTTTAAAAATATACTATACCTAATGACTTTTAATGTTTTTTATAAATACACTAATAATAGTCTAACGTACATTATTGTAATCATTATGGGTTATAGGTTAATTTTTTTAATGATTTTCGATACAGAAGTAATATAATAATAACAATATGAATTATATTATGTATTGATTGAAAACTGAGAAGTAAGGTTACAACATTTGGATTTAGATCTCGTCTCCTTTAGGTGGGAAACCGTCACCCTATCAATTACAGCTCGCTCTGAAATAATCACCTTTTCATTAAGCTCTAAAAGTTTTTACGTGGAAAACATTTTTACTGGCGACGGAGAGGTGGTGATAACGAGATGGATTAAAAATTCGAGTTGTTACTAACAGCTGAGTGTCTGAGGTCAAAAATGTATCGGTTTGAACGGCAATACCTATAATAAATCTCTGTACATTTCATAGAAATATGTGTATTTTTGTTTTGAATTTTTAAACACACAGCAAGTCAGCAACCTTTACTTTCCGGACGAACCTCGTACTTGCCGTTCTTCGAGCTCATTATAATACGCTTATTTTTTATTTGCCGAGTTAAAATAATATTTTTAAGACGACTTATAATTCATTAGTAGGAATTATTTTTTCCGTACGCCTCTTATCGATTCGTTTACGCACGTGCACACACACACACAGCTATCGATAAAAGTATTATTTTATCGCCGCCTGCGTATAAAATGCAAATCGGACCGCTCGGACGAGAATATATTTACTGCAAGACTAGTTTCATTCGATTGTTTATCAAACGATTTTGTTTTTATTTGTACAGAGTGGTGGTGGCGGTGGGAAAAAAAGAAAATATTGAATTAGACCAACGAATGCGGTGACGATTGAGGGTGGGGAAGAAAAAAAAGTATACATTGCCTCGCCTTCATCCTCGGCGGCTCGTCGCGATCACGTTTCTTCTCCAGAAATAAGCCACTTAAGCCACGCACGGACGAAAATACTATTTCTCATTCTTTATTTCGGAATCGTCGCGTTTTGTCGAAATCGGTTTTTCTTTTGCGTGCGCGACGTGTACTCAAAAAAAAAAAAAAATATGTATAATATAATATTTTTGTATAAAAATACGCAGAACTCATCGGCGTATACTAACGAAATAATATAAACACAAATACTGTTGTTGGCCGACCACCGACTACGCCGAATGGTTGACTTTACGTACGTCCACCAAACCATGATTATATCATGGGCTACAACTCATTTGCGCACATTTACCTTTTTTACAACTCATTTGCGCACAAAAACATAACTCATTTGCGCACAATTTACGAACAATAGAAACCTTTTTCCAAGAATTTTATCCACGTATAGGGTGTACATAATCTCCGTACCACCATATTTTCGATTTGGTCAATACTGATAGTGGACAATTATTATACTCAAACAACATTTTCCTTCACCCTTTAAAAGGTTTAGAACTTTCTGTCTCATCATATTCTGATGTTATAGACTGGCGGGCTTAAAAATGTTGTTTTAGCTATTACACATTATTCAAAATGTTGTCAAATTACAATAAATTAGGTACAATCATTTTTACAAGTCATTAAAATTTTGTCAAATTACAATAAATTAGGTACAATTATTTTTACAAGTCATTAAAATTTACAAATTACAATAAATTAGGTACAATCATTATTAGTTTTTACAAAAGTCATTAAAATTTACAATCCACATAAATTACAGTTAATACATAATATTTAATATTTATTGGTACGCGTTTGCATCAAATAGGTTATAAATCAATTTTTTTAGATTTGTAATCTGAATATATTTTTTCAAAAAATTTTGTTTTGTTAATATTCTGTCCTACGTGTGTTTTTTCTTATTTTTTTTAATGAGTTTATTTTTAAATTGGTGTCGACTTGAATTTCCATGAGTATTTGTATGATTTGGTGAATATGAGGGTGGGGGGTATAAAATTGGCTATTAAAGTGCATATGAAAGTTTTCAGCTCTGTTTGTTGTTCTAGGGCTATCGTCTGGTGCACTAGCCCATAATTCTGGCCCAAAATCAGCATCAAAATCAATATAATTTTTTTAAATATAGTCCGGAAAATCCATACTTATATTACTAGGAGCTATTGAGATTAGCTCCGTAAATGCGTCTGGAACTTCATCAGAGTTTAGATAAGGTAAACCAAAAAAATATTTAAACCACCTTCCGATTTCCGAATCATTTTTGAGTATTCTTTTAGTATGTTTTATTTTTTTTTTTTTTTCAAACGCCTGAACCAACACGCTTGTCCCACATGACTAGTGTACTTGGCGAGTATTAATGCCATTTTTGATAGATAATAACTGATGTGAAATCACGTTATGCTTTAAGGACTATTAAGGCTATATTGAAGATACTCCAATAACGGGTGATCATTGATATCAATAATATTGACGTGTAACGTGTGGACAGCGTTAAGACACCCGGTACCCCCAAAACTGTACCTAAAAGCTGGTTTTCATTGTTACTATTTTGTGCGCAAATGAGTGTCGTAAATTTAAAACTATAATTAATATGTGCGCAAATGAGTCTCCACCATATCATGCACATGACATAATATATTTCGTCGCCGAACGCACGACGATGGTCTCTCCAAGAATGAATGCGATTACTATGATATCGGTGGCCAATTGGGTGATAAAAAATTCACTCATGGTTTTGTTCCGTCGACCTCATACATTATTGTAATATTATATTGTTTATAATATTATATTGTTTATAATATTATAACTCTTATCCGTGTCTTCGAGACGTCTTGTTGATATTATTTCAATTAATACTGATGTAGCAGCACTTATATTTACACAAAAAGATAAAATCGTGAAATCATATACGTACTTTACACTTCTCTAATACACACAACAATAATCTGCATATTATATAAGAGACAAAGAGTTAGGTTATGTATGGTTGTGGTTTATATAGGCACAAAAACTACATGACCGACATTTTGACGGAAATTATTCAGAGATTGCTATTAGTAGGGCTCGGATTTCAATGCATTTGCATCTTTTTTTTGGGATATCTTACGCGATGCTTTCCAAGCTACAAATATGTTTCAAGTACTTCGCAATCTAACCATAATAATTTTTTGGGGCATTTTTTTGCTTTTTTTGAATTTTTAGCGGATTTTATCATTTTTAGGGCATTTTTTGATGGTTTTAATGCATTTTTTAATTTTTTAGGACATTTTTGGACCTATTTGTCGTATTATGACTTATTGGCAGACAACCGTCGATCATTTAAATTCCAAAACATTAAAGAAATTCCTATTGTACAATGTAATGCAAATATAATTTAATTTTTAATTTTAATTTTTTTTTGTACATTGTAATATAATTTATAATTTTTATTAGAATTTTATTTGTTCCTCATTTTTTAATAATAATTAAATTTGAATTTATTTAATAAATAATGTATTTTTTGAAACGTCATTTTTTGATATTTTTAGGGCATTTTTTTAGAGTTTTTAGGTCATAAATGCATTTTTTGAAAGGGCATTTTTTTGATATTTTTAGGGCATTTAAATCCGAGCCCCACTCATGACTATCCGAATTCCGAGGATTGACCACTTCGGTCGGATTTTACCACAAAGCGAGGATACATGACACTGACATGCCCTCTAACTGAGGTACAACAAAACCAAAATACGCTGAGTATGCTGCTGTATTCATCATAATATTGTTCATTTTTTCTCAGACAAAGACATGTAATATAGCTATATTATAGTAGGTATTTTACAAGTTAGTATAATACTATAATTTACTTTTTCATTTATGAGACCTGAATCCCTAGGCCTTTTTAAAAAAATCTCGAGGCTCCCCTCTAAGCTAAATCCGGTAGGTACTGTTAAATCAGTAGCACTTATAGGTACCTATACTGTGAGCGTTTACAAGGTGTTATCTAACGACAACGCACTGTTATAATTGTCGACTCAAGTGCATCGTGAAGGAGAAGGTTATGCGATAATATAATATTAAACATAATAATATACTTAATATATATTGTTATTTATCGCGCAGAGAGGAATTTGTACAGTGTAGCGACTATGACGATACTGTCACGTTACGTCGATAAAAGCGGACGTTATTGTAGCAATACGTATGATAATACATAGGTACTAATAAATTATTAAATTATTATTATTATCACATTACAGCCGAGTGAAGTTTACACATTCTTTTGTCGTCAGAATTTATTTGTCGAAAATGACCAATCCACCGGAGACTTTTTTCGACTACTATAAACTACCAGGACCTTGGTACAACTTCAAATACACGATTTATTACTGGTTTTTCACAGCGATCAAGGTATACATCAATAGTATTATAATATCATTGCATATTTGTATTATTATAATAATTATAGTTTATATACAGTAATATTCCATTGGTTTTGTGTTTTTTTTTTTTTTTAGACGATTTTGCGTTTTTTTGACGTACATACGAAGCACGGTAAACCGGAAGACAACGACGGGCCACACGAACTTAACGACAATATTGTAAGTATAATAATATAATAGCTTATGATAATATATTTTTCATCTGAATATCACATTATGAATATAACTTTCCCAGGGCTATGACGCCACTTGGATTGGAGGCACCACGCCCGACGGTAAATGGATCATATTAGCACTTGATAGACGAAACGAAAGTAAAATGTCCATAGGATATGCGTGTTTAAAGGTAAATTTTAGTAGATAATACAATGATGAATTGAACGGTGAAGTTACGTTGGTATAAACGTGTGTGAAAAAAGCTTCACTTCACTGGCCCCCTTTGTCCCAAATTACCCACCAAAATACAAGTCCAATTAAAGTTAATTTTTGGAATTTATAAGTCCATCGACTCGAAGTAAGGCAAACATCATCAGGATGAAGGATAATCTTCACACTAACACCACCCTCCTCCACACTTTGTCGAAATTACACCAGAAAAATCGTAACCTGTATAGAGCTTAATTAAAAGAAATTATTAGTTAATTTTTGGATTTGTAGGTTGGCCGCTGTATTTAGTAGTTCATTTCGGTCACAACTTATCTATAGGAAACCTACAAGTTCCTAAATCCAACTTACCAACTATACCATCACACACATCGTTTGTACGGCTTTTTCAGATTCCGGGAATCGGACACCTGTCTACTCCGATGTATCCAAATTCCATGGATAACGCTTTGGGAAACAGCGACGATGGTTTCACTTTGGACAAATTTACTTTGACGGTGATCGAACCTCTCCGACGGTGGAAAGTCAATTTCGAAGGTAAAATGACGTAAGTACCTTTACATAATAATATATATTGTGAAGTCGACCTTATATGGTACATAACAACCTCCGACGGTTGTACACATATATATTCATGTTAGGTTTGTGGACGATCCGGACACCTCGGCCCACGTAAAAATAACAGCCGAATGGACGAGCCAAAGTGACGTGTGGCTACTGAACCGGGACTTGAGCAGCGAATCGTTCGCCGACTCTTTTGCGCTGGAAAACTGGAGCATGTTCTCCGCCACCCTATTCGACCGGTACATACATGCCGGACAAAGATAATATTGTTATGAACTACTGTTGAGCCTTAAAGCTTTATATATTATTCTATGACGTGCGTATATCGTTTCGTTACAGTTCCAAAGACGACGTGGTGCATTGGGAGCAGTTCGGTCGATTGGACGCGGACATCGAGATCGACAGGATCGGAATTGAAATTCGCAACGCGGCTACCGTCAGGGACAGGAGCTTCGGTATATTTAATTTCTATAATTAACTGTAACCCGAAATCTCAGACAAAAACCCCCTAAAAATGCTATACATTACTACTTTCTCAATAACCCTGCATCCAGCGGAATTAAAATGTTTTACCAAAATAGAAATAAAATGTGTTAAAATCAAAGTCATAGTTAATTGAGCTTTTATAATAACTAAATTAACCACTATCTATACAATAAAGATAAACATAACTCTACTAAACTAGATAATATTTTTTTATATCTAAAACAGAAATACACTACATTTAAAAATGTGATATGCTATAAGCGTCAAATTTGTCAAATTTGTATTATAGATAATATACTTAATGTTATGTTTTATTATATTATTTTAGGTTTTAATCATATCAGATAATAAAATTGGATTTGATTCTTTTGGACTTTCTAAACAATCGTAAAATATGCGCTTTTTGGAACCACCACCGATAATATATATTATACAATATTGTAATAATATAATGAGGAGCTCATTCAAACGGTGTTTTTTGCAGGTAAAATTAGAGATTTTACAGCGTTGCACAGATATTTCTACATAACCATGTTCATGGAAGACGGTCAGTCCCTGGTGATTACGGTGGTTTGTCACAAAAAGACGTTTTCGAGGTGAGTCACGTACCAAATAACTAATTACTACAGGGCTAGAGCTCTATCGCATAAAATAGATAAAAAAATAATCACCTATGAATGGTAAAAATTAAGGTATCAGAAAACTTTTTAATTATATATTTTATTTCACCTACCTATAGTACATATTTTGTATCATAATATACGAAATTTAAAATTAAATTATTAAATAGGTTAAAATTAAATTCTCATGTATTCAATTAATTTGTTTATAACTTACACATTATCGGTATTTTATATAATTGTCTACTAAATCTCTTATTTTATTTTGTACCAGTGTATGAGTATATAAGACTCATTAGAAATATTATTTATACGTAAATAAAAATAAAACACGTTAGGTTAGGCATGTATTTAATAAAATGTAATTAAAGTGTGAAAAAACAATTCGTTTAAAATTAATTTAAAAAAGCCTTATTAAAATATTTTAAGAGACTTTCGTATTTTTTTCCTGATTATTTGTGAAATCCGCAATACATTCCTTGCTCTAAATTAATTACGGAGGTTTATAATTAACGATAGTGAGGTAAATTGCATGTTAAGGGGGCTCCAGGGGGCTTTTAAGGAGTAATATTTAGGCAAATCACATGGCATTTAGGCTATGTCTATGAGTGAGTAGCAAATTAACATTAGTGTGTGTTTCCGAGAATCGCTGTAATGCTGTATCGGGTAACCGCCCAAGTATATGCACACGCACATGTCAATACTTCCAGAAAATTGAAAATAATCTTGTTTACCTACATAACTATAAAAACTACTAAAAGCGGTAGGGAATTTAAAATACTTCCTGAAGTTCGATTGTAATTTCGAAAAAATGGTAGAATTCATAAGCTCCTAGACTAATGCTCTATACGACTCACTTTTTTGATTTAAAATTATATTATGTCCCAGAATAAATACAAATGTAAAGCAATTATTTCATGGGATTTTTGAAAAAAAATCCTAGTTTTAAGGTATTTTAAATTAAAAATTAAAAATCGACTTCCTAAAAAGCCTAGATATTTTTTCAAAGAGTTCATACATATATCAAAAATTAAAATCGGACATTCCGAAGTAGGTACGTGTAATTTACCACAGCTTACCGGTCTAAAACGTATGAAAAATATGTGTGCAGTGCTAACGATCTGAAGCCGTTTTTTTTTTTTTTTTGTTCCTCTTTACAAGGCTGTTTTTCGGATTTATCAGCAACGATGACGGTACCAACAGCAACATAGACTGGACCGATTTGAACATACATCAATTCGGCGAAAACGGCAGGGTCACCGAAGAACTGTGTTTTTTAATAAGAATCGGTACTTACCACTATATCTTACCACTATTACCAATAATTAATATGAACTAACGACAAATTCCCATTTCTCCGCAGGTAAAGTCGTGCACACCGTGCAAGTCGTGTGCGAGAGCCAACACTGGTATCGACTGGAAAAGGGAGTAGTGAGATGCGAACAGATCGGCGACTGCTTGGTCGACAACGTGCCGGGCAAGTGTATGATCCAGTCGCTGTACAGCGAGACGTCACTGAGGTCGAAAACTTTTTGCAAGCCTCTGAGTTATTTGAACTATTAGTTATATTTTAACGATTTATTAAAGCCTTTTCCAAAACGATATTAAACAGTTAACGAACTGCGGTTTTTTTTTTCTTTTGCTCCCGGCCAAGACAAAGTGAATCTATATTATCCCACTCCGCAATAACAGACGGTCGGGCGTGCATCGTTTCCAACAAATCAATGTTCTTCCAAAATAATTGTCGTTTGAGAACCTAATTATTAATTCCGGTCTTATGTTTCATTTTTTGGTTATTTTTTTATGGTATTCTGTAAATTATATTTCCGAAAATCGTACTTTCGTAACCAATACTGTGGGCCGATTCCAGTGCCAGTATATATGCATTTTTGGTGGTTATCGAAAACCATAACCTCCTGGTGGCCTCTGGGTAATTATAAACGATTCTTCAAAGTATATTTGAGACGCTGAGCACAAAAGTGGCCTATTTCACTCAACCATCATTCCGAGTAAATTAGCTTTAATGATTTTTCTAATTTTGTATCACTGAGAACAATTTTAATTTTTTTTTTTTTTGGTGGGGGTTGGGGGTTCTTGTTGAAATCCACTGTAGATTACATCAGCGTTTTTGAAACCAAAAAAAAATCGAAATCCCCTAAGTTAATGTTGGTTAGGTCATTTTTGTATAACCACTTCATAATTATAAAATGTGGTTTAGGTCAAATTTGTATAAAATAATCAGCCATGTCATGTCAACTTAACTCTTTTAATCAACTTTATATACAATTTTAAAATAACAATATAGGTATTTTAAATTCAGACTTATGAAATAAATAGGCCAGTGTTGCATTATAATAATAACAAAAATGCTCTCTAGGAGAAAAAAAGATGTTATTAGGCCGGTTTTGCTTTAATTTTAATTACACGATTTTGAACAACTTGGTACAGTTACTTAAATTTTTCATTTTTTGTGGTTTAGGCCACTTTTGAGATCAGCGGCTCATTTAAAACAAACTAGATTTGCTGGGTACAAAAATCAAAACTTTTTTTGATTTTAATAGAAACGAATAACTCACTTAAATGGGATTGTAAATTCCACCCACAGTGAACCGCTGGTATGTTTAGGTTAGGTAGTAAAAGTATATAGTATACATTGAGCTCGGCATTCCAAGATTTCTAAAATGGGTATATTTTAATAATATACCCATTTCATAGTTCATTGCCATAATTTCTAAGTGACCTTAATTTTATTGATAAGATTTAAACACAAAAAATATGCATATTTTTTAAAAGAAAGTTAACTTTTGAATTTTAACTAATCCAAAAATACATTATTTGAGAATGATGGTAGACGGCTCCTTGTTGTGTTCTCTGGGTATCGCTAAACGGCTATCGTCATAAAAATAATAATTTACACAGAACGTAATTTATTACATGTACAAATGTATAAGTAGACGAAATTGTATTGGGCGCAATATATTCACTGCATAGAAATAATGTAAATTTAACTGAAATAATAAAATATCGGTCTCTATTTACAATATATAGTCGTCGCTTCTTCGGACGGCGCAATTTGCGTTCGGCCTATTAAATATCTAATAATATAAATATATTATGACTATATTTTATGACAAAACGGTTAGGTTCGCGGTCCACTCTCGCTCGAAGTCCTCGCGATTGCAAAAGACGCTCACCAAACTATCGCAATCGTCGAGCCCAGACGCCGCGCCGACGCAGGTGACGGATCTGAGGTAGTTGACAAAACGACCAGCTCGTTATAATAATCGTCGTAAATAATGTATATATATATATTATTATGCGAAGGCGAGATGACTATGTATAATATCTAAAATATAAGTATATTATGTACAACGCTGCTTGGAGTACGACATCGTTCTTCATTATGACATCGGTAGGTGTATATATAGCAATAATAATATACATAATATTTTTGGTATAGCAGTGGCGCTTACACGACCGATTTTCATCAGGCTAATTGCGTCGCCACCCGGTCGGGCCCTGCACCACTGCCGTCCTATATTATTATAATAGCTGCTGTGTACACTCGAGGCGGCGGCGGCGGTGATTAATGCGTTTAATATTCATAAAAATCGCTAGCCGAAAAGTCGTCGAGGCGCTTATCAATCATTGTCCGCCGCGCGCGTAATTCGATTACGCTTGTTATCCGCTAGCGCGTAATATCGTATAATAATTATCATTACGACGGTACGACTACGATTTATATCCTCTGATGACGACGAGCTAGGGACGTCGCGGAAATATAAACGACGGTTTTAAGATTAAACGAGAAAGATCGGGAAAAATCGAGAGCACTATATCTGCGAAGACGTCTCCAACGGTGGTAGGCGAGAAACACGCGGGAGGGGGTGGACGTGCAGGATGATTCTGGTGGACGGCCGAGAGGCTAGTCGATAAGGATATCGACGATGGTAACACCGTTGAAAAAAAAGAGTCGTTGGATAAGCAGTAAGAGAGTCGAAAAGCATTTTGTTGTGATTTTAATGTTCTTTTTTATTTGTTCGATAAACAATAACTTTTATTTTAGGTAGGATTTGGCTTTTTTTTCTTAAAATATATTTTTATATTTTTACGTCCTTTATATATGTTTGTGATTATTATTTACGTGAATACAAAAATTTGAATAAGTACATATTTTGGCAAATCATTTTGGCACTATTCTGCTCTACATATTTTGTTTTATACCTATATAATTACGAATGTAATAAATAATAATCTTTATTATATTTTGGTATTATATTATAATCTATGACCTATATATTATTATAGTACCTACCTTATTTTCATCAAAATAATGTGTAGACAAATATTTATGGAAATAAATTCAAAAATCAATTTTGATAAACGTCGCTATTGCGTTCTATAAACATTCACGATAATGTAGTTTATTACCTATAATAATTCTCGTTTAGACCCTTTTTTGAGCTAACAAAATACTTAAAGTGTCGTTTATACCGTAAACTTAAAATTCAAATTGTTAGTTATTAGGTAAATAGAATATTGATCATTGTCGGTTTTGCACATGTGCATTGGAAAACACATATTTTTCTCTATCCGGTAATAATATATAAGCCATGTTGTTTGGACCCTTGTAGTGAAGCTTCAACCCTTTTTACGTGTAACCATCGATATAGTGGCGAAGACGAACGTGATGTGAGCTCGTCGACTGGTGATATTCCAAGCAACTCGATATCGTTGCACGGCAGTGGTGGTTTAATTATGCGGTCGGACGCGTATACAGCCGCTGTAGAAAACTCCAACGGGTGGTCCCGACGAGCAAAGGGTGGGTGAGGACGTGCATATCAAAGGCACAAAGCACCCACGTGGGTCCCGTGACGGGTGGTCAGCGGCCAGCTCAGTGGCGTGGCCCGATTATTACGACATGCAGGAATTTGCCTTTTGAACGTCGTCGAAACGAGGTATCCCAAATGCAACCCACCCCTAGTATTCCGTCTGTCGCACGTCCACCCCACACCCACCGAATAATGATGTAATAATTATTATGCACAATGTTCAGTGACACGGTGTTAAGAGTCACAATAGGTACCAGCTGAGCTTTTTATTATTGTATGAATTGACAATTCACTGAAATAATATATTGAAATAAATTAGTAAGTATAATATAAGTAAGAATAATTGCTTTTAAATAAAAGGTCTTCTCATTTGTGATTTTGAGAACCATGTTAGAATACCCCTGTAAGAATATAATATTGCTCAATTGTATAGATTTTATGTTTTTATATAAACTATTGAATTGATCTATCAACTGCCCTGAGCTTTTTTTAGTGATATCGGTTTTAAGGTCCCCTCGGTCAACACTAGATACAAAAAATCAACTATTATTTACCACATTTAGTAATCGTATTTTGAAGTTCTAAATAACCACAATAAAAGATAAAAATGGTCTACACGTAATGCCAGTGTGCGGTGTAGACTAACGGTTCTCATCATTAAATAGATTATTATGAGGGGTAATGGCATTAAAATAATAGTTATAATAACAAACAAAACTATATTTAACGAATGCAAACAATTTTGTGAACACAGAAATTAACTTAAAATAAGTCATCCCTATTATTGATGAAAGTTTAGGTCCAGATCCGGACAATGAAAGGAATACGATTGTGCAGTTCTTTAAGTAAATACAATTTCTTGATAAATTATGAATATCAATAAATTATTATCTATTATTATTATGTCATACTATGGCATCGATGATCGAAGGTGAAAGAAGACTTGCGGGAGTACGCAGGAAATCGAAAATATCTTGGAGCCAATTATTATTATTCTAGTAGGTAGTGAAATCGATTTCGCGATACAATTTAAATTCGGTGTGATTATATCTCCATAGGCGCGCTTCTGTATAAAGGTAAGCTACCGAGTGAAAGTATAATCTTATAAAAGGCCGATTTCGATTCCACTCGGCTGCACTCGAAAGCCGTTCACAGAGTTTGGCCGTCAAAACCTGGTAACGCATTTTAGGCTTGCACGGTCGGCTCCGATAATACGTTTTCTGAGTTTTCAAATCATCATCTTCTCTGCAACGTTCCCGCCAGTGGATTGAGAATGTTACTAATCGTATTATATCATTGTAATATATTGATTTTGAGCAGAGAATTAAATGCTATAAATACCAATCCATAATAATATGTTGATATAAATAAATCGAATTACAATAATGTAGGTACCAAGTATAATATTATGTTTTAAAATAAAAAGCTTACAATGATTTATTTTATACTATCAAATAACAATTTACACTAAAAATATGATTTTTAAATTAAAAACATTAAAAATATGTTTATAATCACTATGATGTCAAAAAATATAAATATTTCCTTCATTAGCGGCAAGTTGAAAACCTATTTCAATATTGTTCAATGACTATTATAATGTAAAAACCTTAGAAATTTTTATTTCATTTCTACTTATTTAGGAGAAACTTAATATTCTTAAAAATTCAAAATATGTATTGATTATGAAGAAAATCCTAAGAATGTATGCTTTGTGAAATCGAAAACCCT